CAATTGTCTGCTAGTTTGTGATTCAGGTACAATTATTATTTGAGTGTTCTTTATTCTGAATTTTTTACGGTAGAGGGTACTAACACTGAGTACATTTTCCTGTTAAGAATATTTGGTTTTTATCCTCAATTATCAAATTTTTGAAGTCTCACTTTCTAGTCTAAAATATATGTAATTTACAGATATTGCACTTGTGAAAGAGTATTGGCTAATTGAGTGGGTCCAATTGAGTTTTAGTATCAGAGTCAGCTCAAAATACTTTTTTTTTTCCTCTCCCCCCGTTAATGGTTCTTTGTCATAATTTTACTTCTTGCTCTTTGATTTATTAGTTTTTGCTTGGTTTGTTCATCTTGACTATCAAAGTAATCATTGTCAAGTGAATGTGCATGGAAGCAAATCAATGGAGTTGTAGTATTAGTTTGAGCTGAAAGTTCATCAGTTCTTTGTTACTTATCTAGGTTGTGATCTATACTTATTAGTCTTTTGAATGGGTTTGTTTCAATATTTAAATTTGGTTGTTTACTAAGTATCTTTGCATGCTGGTGCTCTAATTGATTAGTTATGTATGGTGCCTTCCCAAACCAAGCTTTTTAGCCCAGGCTAAAATAGCCAAAAAAGCCAAAAAGCTAACCCACTTCCCAAACGAAGGCTATGTATATCACCTTTCATCTCTTTAGGTGGTTTCTGAAGCCGTAAGTTGAAAATAATACCAAAACTGCCTCAGGATCAAATAGTCATGAAGGCCTATAAATATGAGACTAATGCCCATAACTTTTTTATAATATATATATATATATATATTATAAAAAAGTTATGGGCATTAGTCTCATATTTATAGGCCTTCATGACTATTTGATCCTGAGGCAGTTTTGTTGGGGACCAAATTAACAAAATTTGAGTCTATAGTTGCTCTTTAAAGGTTTTTGTTGTAGGATAAATTTCAACAAAATTAGAGCCAAACTTCAGCAGTTTTTTTTTTTATTTATAAAAAAAGTGTTTAAAATCAGTTTTTAGAAACATTTTATCAAATTTGATAGAACATTTCACAGTAAATCTATAGTAGTTTTCTCAAGCTAAAAGGTAGCTTTTTGGAAACAAGAAGGGCAGTAGCTGATTGCAGCATTGCAGTGGGGTCTCTGAGCATGAATTATTGAATTCTCTTTTGGATAGAAAGCTTTATTAGTAAAAAAAAGTAACAAAAAACACAACCCAAGGGACAGACTCAGAGAAGCATGTTAAAATGTTCTGAGGTTCAATCATCATATGACCCAAAAGAGGATGCTTTTGAATGGATGGGGTGGGATTTTCAATTCCAAGGATGTGGAAATGAAAATGATTTCCATAACAGACTTCATTGATGAAAGCATTGTTTGTTTATTTGAAATGGGAATCTAGTGTTCATTTGGTGGTAGACAAGAATTGTAATCTCTCCTATGTACTGTTTGGTGGGGAGGAAAAAAAATTTAAAGTCCTATGTAATGTTTGTTTATCTTGACATCTATAAAGTTGTTCTTACCTGGATTTTAATTTGTTCATTTTTAGTTCTTACTAAAAAATACTCCATTTAGATTGATATATAAATCTTGGTATTATTCAGTAATTAGCCTTACTAAAAAAAAATAGTTTAATTATAATATTTCATAGTGTCATATATATAATTTCTATGTATCAACAAAAAAATTTAGGTTGCTAGGGTTACTTGAGTTATGAAAACTCATGCCCAAATTGCCAATTTAGTTCCAATTGTATTTTGTTCTTTAATTGCCAACAAAAAAAAAACCCAAGTTGCACCCTCACCTCTAGTTCCAATTGTATTTTGTTCTTTAATTTTTTACAAATTGCCAATTTAGTCCAACTGAACAAAAATCAAGCATAAAAGGATATATTTAAGAGAGAATAGACCATTTCATAATAGATGCTAATTTTTAATATATTGGGACATAATGCTTAGTTTGGTTTGATTTATGCTTTAAATTTACTGCTATTGACAAATGTGTGAATGACTAGATGAATATAATCTTTTTTATTGAAATAAGTTTGCATTTGTTATCATGCTTTTGCTAAGGCAGTCAACTGGTCAATAATTTTGAGAGGTTTCTTTCTTCTCTAAATCTTACTCATAATTACCACCAATTTTTCATCATGTACCTATCATATCCAATAACTATTACAATAATTTTGTACCTTCATCAAACTATAAATGGCTAATCAGTTTACTCAATCATCAAACTATTCAAAAATTCAGAACACCACTCACACCACTTGTCCTATATATAAAGTATACAAGTTGTTTAGTGTGAATTATTTGTCACACTCTTTGCATTAACTGATTCAATATTTTAAAACTCAACAACCTTTATTTCATATTTTTTATTCGTAAATTACAAATAGTGTGTATTTATATGTATGTATATATGTGCTATTTGTAATCAACTTTTTGGAAGTTAAGTGGAAGATAATGGACTAGCATTGCAATTTAGGGAAGACAAGAAAACTGTTGAAGCATTTCATTAACATGTTGTGTGCATGAGACTTGTTTGGACAAATTAAGGGGGGCTAGCAAAAACATGCCTTTGGACTTTGCAATTAGTTTTAGATAACACACAAAGTGATAAAAAAAAAATAAATAAATAAATAATAAATAACTAAATACACGAGTTATAAATGTTTCATAACACAATATCGATGCACATGCTCTTTCATGCACGTTTTGAGTTTTGGTTTTGCTAATGCTGTCATTCTTGGTGTGATGTTTGTTAACATAGTATGTTTCTCTCTTGTTTTTTAGTTTTTCATTTGTTGAATTGTGTTTTGTTGGTATAACAAAACAACTATCCAACACCTTTGATTATAAATAAAAAAAAAATTAATGAGTGGGAAGTCGTGTATTTATGTTGACAGATTTGATGGTGCAGTGGCAGCGGCTCAAAGAGTAGCACGGCTGGACTTAAGCAACAAGGAAGTGAACATGGTGGTTAGGAGGACACGGGCGGTGGCAATGGCTCAGTCCAACAGTAACGATTTGTTCAGGGGATAAAGATACTCAGATGCTTGTGTTGCATATGGAGAGGGACTCGACCATGACCCCTACAACTCGGTGTTGTTGTGCAGCAGAGCCACTTGCAAGTCCAAACTTGGTCAATTTGAGAAAGCAATCAAGGACTGGACTGCTGCCCTTAATGTGCGCCCATCTTACAGGAAAGCCAGATTAAGAAGAGTCAATTGCTATGCCAAGGTAACTAACTAGCTACTAGTAGCCTATCCTATATGTCTATTTGTTGCAACATTTTTTTGAGTTTTTTTGATATTTATGAGCAGCATTTAAAAGGAATTGAATGCTCTTCACACTACTAGAAATATGATGGTCTAGGTGCTTCATGTTTTACATGTTAAAGCATCCTTTTTCTATGCTTGAAAATAGGTTATGGCAAGCAAGACAAAGATCTACATTGTGCTCGAGTATGTTGGTGAGGGTGAGCTTTTTGACAAAATAGTAAGGCATTGTTTTTTGAGCTTCTACTCTCTGAGCACCTATAATTTCATTCATAATATAATCAATTGTGTAATGCATTACATCTTAATTTAGGCATTTGCTCATGTCATGCTTACCATTTTGTTATGGTAATGTGTGTTATATTGAGGCTCATTTATGTAAATCAATGTAGGTACCGAGTCTTGTATTTGTCTGATAATATTCCCTTATTGACCCTTTTATAACTAGGCCAAACTAGGAAGACTTAAAGAGGATGAATCTAGGAGATATTTTCAGCAGCTCATCAATGCTGTAGACTACTGCCACAGTAGGGGCATGTACCATAGAGACTTAAAGGTTTAACAAACTTTCTTACATGTTTCATTGATTAATTAATGTATTTATTCTAATTTTTTCCAATAAAAAAGAATTTATTATCTAACAGTAATTTGGTTTCTTTGGCTATTTATTCGACCATGACTCTTAAATTTGCATTACCCTGCATTGCATCTTTTGCAGCCCAAAAATCTGCTTCTAGACTCATTTGGTGTTCTCAAGGTTTTAGACTTTGGATTGAGTGCATTTTCCCAGCAAGTGCAGGTAAGTATTATGTGAGTTTGCAACAATTTCCTCATCTGAGAGCAGATTTTTAGTAGGTGGGTGTTTAATAAATTGAACGTCAAATTTTTAAAAGTGGTAGTAGCACTGAGTCAATTTTGCAGCCTATTTAGTTTACTAAAATCACGTAGTCCAGAAACTACCTTTCCGGCCAGGAGCAGCGCCCTGCTCTGAAAGGAATTCCTCAGGAATAATGTGGCCATTAGTTTTTCTTCTATCCTTCAGTAGCTTGTTTATTTCTTGTTTCTATTAATTTGGAAATGAACTTTTTTTTATGATTTGTGTCTTTCCTTTCCCTCTTTTTATATTAGTTTCCCCAAATCAAGGAGGCTGTTTAGTTTTGTTAGTTGACTTCTTCATAAGATTCTGTATTATGCATCATCTAGATTTCGACACTTCGAAAACATTCAGAGACCATTTTTTAAGACTTGATCTAATCCACATTGAGGTTATATGATCTCAATATCATTCAGACACATAAGTTGTGGATTGCCTTAAACCTAACCCTCATTCATCAATATAAGTTGGTGTTGTGGCTTTGCTTAATCAAAGACTGACTACCTTTTTTACTGTCGGAAGACGTGCTGTTTCACACTGCCCGTGGAACCCCAAATTATGTTGCTCCTGAGGTATCAATTATGATGTCATGGAAATGGATGGTCGCTTTGATGCAAATTTTTTTTCTTTTCTTATTAGTTTCTTGCATTTGTGATACTTCTTTCTTTCTTTTTTTTTCCCCTTTCTATCAGGTGCTCACTACTAAAGGTTATGATGGTACAGCAGCTGATGTATGGTCTTGTGGGGTCATTCTGTTTGTTCTTATGGCTGGATACTTACCTTTTGACGAGCCGAACCACATGGCTTTGAAAGCATTCAAGCACTTAATTTTTTAAAGTTTTTTTTTAATTTTTTAATATATGTAATCACAGTTAAATTTTTTTTATTAATTTCTTTGTATATACTTTTGAAAATTTAACTTTCATTTATTAAATATATGATGTTATTTCATTCAATATATGGTTGTGATTCAAAATATAGTATATAGTGTGTATTACATTCTTCAAATGCGCGTACAAAAATAGTATTGATTATTTTTCAAATATGTCGATTTTTTTTTTATTTTTTTATTTTATCACAGGTTTTATTAGTTATTAATCACACTTAAAAGATGTGATCTAAATATTTTTAATCACACTTAAAATGTGTGATCTAAATGTTTTTAATCACACTTAAAAGATGTGATCTAATGTAATCTAAATATTTTTAATCACATTTAAAAGGTGTGATCTAAATATTATTAATCACACTTTAAAAAGTGTGATCTAAATGTTTTTAATCACACTTAAAAGGTGTGATCTAAATATTATTAATCACACTTAAAAGAAGTGATGAAATCATTTTTTAATGACACTTAAAAAGTGTGATTAAAAGCATTTTTTAATGACACTTAAAAAGTGTGATTAAAAATGACCATTTTTAATCGCACTCTCAAAGACCACACTTTCATAAAAATTAAAAAGTGTGATTAAAAAACATACATCACACAAAAAAAGTGTGATCTTTATCTGTATTTGTAGTAGTGCCGGTGAGCAAATAGGCTAAATTTTCAATCGATTTCTGGCTCAGTGCATCGGCAACGATGTTGGCTTTTCCCGGATGGTACAAAATCTGTAGGTCATAGTCTTTAATCAGTTCTAGCCATCTCCGTTGTCTCATGTTCAGTTCTTTCTGTGTGAAGAAATATTTCAAACTCTTGTGGTCGGTATATACTTTACATGTTGCCCCATACAGATAGTGACGCCAGATTTTCAGTGCAAATACTACTGCAGCAAGTTCCAGATCATGGGTCGGGTAGTTCTTTTCATGCGGTCTCAGTTTTCGGGAAGCATAAGCAATAACTCTCCCATTCTGCATTAAAACACATCCCAAACCCTTATGAGAAGCATCACTAAATACAGTATAACCATCCGTACCTGAAGGTAAGGTCAGAACAGGTGTAGTCACTAATCGAGTTTTCAACTCTTGGAAAGCAGAATCCCTTTGGTCAGTCCAGTCAAATGATATCCCCTTCTGTGTCAGTTGAGTCAATGGTAAGGCAATTTTGGAGAAATCTTTGACGAATCTTCTGTAATTCCCGGCTAATCCCAAAAAGCTTCGGATTTCTGTTACATTTGTTGGTCTAGGCCAGTTTACTGGGCGCTTCCTGGTTTTATTTGTGAGAAGAAGAAGTACGGCTCACTATGAGACTGTGGATTGGGACTACGCAGTGAAGCTGAAACAAGAGTAATTGTTGAAAGAATAAATTACCCATTGCCACGTATTGATGACCTGTTTTGATCAGTTACTACAGGTGCCTGTGGTCTCACAAGTGTTGGTTCTAAGATCGATCTCGATCCGGATACCATCAGTTGAAAGTTAAACCAGAAGGACATTAGACAAAACTGCTTTTCGATAATGAGGTATGGGGAACAATTATGAATTTAGTTATTGCCTTTTCGGAGTTACCAATGCCGCCTGCTGCATTTATGGGACCTAATGAAATCGAATCTTTAAACCGTACCTTTGATGACTTTATTTGTTGTATTTATTATGACATCTGATTTACTTCCAAAAGTGCAGAAGAACATGAATACAATCTGAGACTTTGCCCTACAGACCTTAAATGAAGAAAAGAACTTTATGCTAAACTGTCTAAATGTGGATTCATGGCTCATCATGTTATGTTTTTGTGGGCGATGTTGTTAGCAAAAAGAATGGAATTTCCGTTGATCCACCGAGAAATTGAAGCTGT